AATTTTTTTTCCGTATGCCGGGGAAAGTGCCTCACCTTTCTACATTAATTATTAGTTGAATTTCCTCGGGTTTCTATAAAACAGAATGAAAAGCCGGGATGGAAGCACAAACAAAAGGAGAGAGGAAAAGTAGAAAGGGGGGAAGAAGTCTAATGCTAGTTCTTACTGAAACTTCTTTATCTAACTTTCATTTTTGAGTGGTTTCTTTGTTCTCTTATTTGGATTGAAAGAAAGACAAAACTTCCCTTTCTTTCTCTTCTTTCTTTTTTTATCCCTTCGACGAATCTCGGCTATGACCAATGCCCCACTAGCGGAATAGGCGTAAGAAAGCTACCTGAAAAAAGCAAGGTGCATCTTGGATTGAACTCGACGAATTGCGTTTTGCCAGAGATCTTTTTTTAGAAAGATTCTCCATTGGAAATTCAAAAATAGAAAGAATCTAAATAAAGGCGCATACGCGGGAAGGGGGCCCCACTACTTCCCACTGGGCGAGAGGTGCACTTAACCCACCTACCCACTCATCAATCACGGTGTTCAGCTGACTTGCACTGATAGACCCCTATTGTATTGGAATTAGGCGCCCATCTTTTGACTGTTGTCAACTAATCTCTTCAATGTTCGATTCTACTCTATGTTAGAACATTTCTGTGAATGCTATTCTGATCTAAGTGGTCTTATTCTGTGTCCCGTGCTAGGAAGCATTACTCCTCTTTTCATTCCAAATTCAAGAATACGACCGATACGATTGATTGGTCTGTGCGCCTCTCTTATTACTTTTTTGTATCCCCCTGTTCTTCGGATACAATTCGATCCTTCTACGGCCAAATCTCAATTTGTGGAAAGCCTTCGATGGCTTNAGTATAATTTATTAACTGATATATTTACAATGAGGTCTAAGTGTAACGCGTGTACAAACTTCGGAGGATTTGTGTATAATTTTTCAAATATCAGGGGATCTGAGTGATTTAGTGACAAATCTCAAGGAGTCTGAGCATAATTCTCCCTTTTTCTGACGATACAATCTTTATTTTGAAACTAATAAGATACTGTCCTTGGAAAGTGTATTTGTTTTCAGGCTGATCACTCCTTGTAACTTTCTAAATCTCTTTTCTATGGCAAAGTTGGCCCCCCATTGGGGCTCCAGTCATAGTCCATGGACAGTTGCTTTCCCTCTGCAGGGGCCTTGTGCAATAAATCCCCTACGGGCGGTTGTCCGTCTTCGTAAAGTAGTCCCCGCGAAGTTTTCGGGAAGAGGGGTAGTCTTGTGTGTAAGCATAACATTTCTGGTCGAACCTGTCCACTAATAGAAAAAAAGAAAGAAAAAAAATACGCAGTAATAGGACAGATAATTGGAGTTAGAGNAATACGCAGTAATAGGGCAGATAATTGGAGTTAGAGGTGTCAAAATATGAGACAACTCATTAACATGACATGAACATGATACGAAATTAAAGGGTTTGAGTCTTCTTTAAAACACCTGTTTCGTAAACGAGTGAATCTGACATAATACAACACGATTAAAAAATGAATTGGGTATGAGTGAAGATAATTAAAAGAAATATACAACATGCTTCGTTTATATACCGATTATACATATTCATACACGACATGAACCCGATATAACACGACCTGTTAAATACGAATTAATAAATGAATCGGATATGAGTAGAGTATTTTTTGACACAAATTCGTTAAGTTCTAACATAAATTTGTCTCACTCAACATAATTGATAGGCTTAATCAGAGTTTTAGAATCGCCACTCATAAATTAAAATGGGGTGATGGGCCATCGAATGTTTGTTCTTGAAATTTGATTTTGACATTGAAAGTGATTAGTAATATTCATTAAGCCTTAGATTATGAATTTAAGGGGTCAACTGAGTCTATAGGCGAAGGGACGAATGCCCAATGAAGGACTATGCTACAGTGAAAAAGAAAATACGTTAAAAGAACCTATTAGAACGCCATTTAAAAAGTGTTGTGGCATTCCTCAACCCATCCCACAAAGATTGAGTTTGATTTTGAAAAGGGGGAGTTGGCTTCAATACCGAAAAGATAAAAATCGGTACAATACCGAAAAAGTAAAATGACTGAATGGTCACCACCTGTATGCTTCGAAACCCGGTTTCACCGGTATATATTTTAAAAATAAGCGAAACTGCTACACACTTTAAAAATTGATAATTATTTATCTTATTTAAAGCTAAATAAAAATATAAGGAAAAATTTCCAATATTTGGGATTATTGACTGACATTAAATTTACCATTTTAGATTAAGTTAAAACTATCAGGAGATTAGGATTAGGTTATCAATGCAAGTTTACCACTATTTTAAGTGATAATAGAAATTAAAATTAGTTTCAAAAAATTATAGTTATTTGTCATACTTGAAATAAAAATATAATGAAAAATTTATAATATTTAGGGTTATTGAGTGACATTAAATTTACCATTTTAGATTAAGTTAAAAATATTAGGAGGTTAGGATTGGGTTATCAAAGTTCACCATTAGGCTAAATTACAATTAAAGTATACCAAACATTTTTGGGAATTAAAATGTTATAGTTTATCAACAATTTTTTGGGTAAAATTGCCATTTTTAGGGTTATATTTTGGGTTAAGTTAAAATTATAACAACAAAGTTTTTCACCACAAAATAAATTATAACAAAGTTATCATATTTGGGTGTTAATTTAAACACCTTTTGGTGTTAAATTAAATTAGGTAAAAAAATTTGGGATAATATGAAACTAATTACATAGTTAAGGGTGTAATATGAGGGAAATTTTAAAAAACTGGTGATAATTTAGGGGTATAAGTATAATTTTTGATTAATATGATCTCAACTTGATCACTGGTTGAGCGATTCAAATTAGTTCGCTACACAGATCGATAGCGATCGCTACATTCCCATATATAGCGATCTAGGTTAGATTGCTCAATATAGCGATCAACTTCCTTTTTTCTATTCCCCCCAAAATCGAACTCCTCAACTCCAAAATTCCATACCCAAAACCCTAGAACCCCAAATCGATTTCACCCAATCTGAATTTTCATACCCAAAACCCTAAATCAACAACCATTGCCAAATCGAACCCCAAATCAGCAACCAAATCGAACCCAAATCGAACCTAATTGCCATGGCCAAAGCAACCATCGCCACTGCCACCACTGGAGCCACAACCACAGCCACGACTAGAGCAACCATCGCCCCTACCACTGTCTTCCTCTTCTCTGAAGTATCCATTTTTTTTCTCTCTCTCTCTCTCTCTTTCATCATATTTTTGTATACATAGTTGTCTCTCTTTCTCTCTCTCTCTCTCTCTCTCTCAATTTCATCATATGTTTGTATACATAGTTGCATAAGGGATGTGTTTTTGGGTTGAACGAATGATGGTTTTTGTGATTGATGATTTTTGTGAATGATGGTTCAAAAATAAGGCAATCCTATTTCCCTCACATCTCCATCAATTGTTATTATTGCTCAAAAGTAATAGATAATTTGTCATGTAATTACTCTCTTTTTTGACTAGATTTTTTTCTTGTTACAGAAAGACCAGATAAGAGTATAATGACCGAAGGCAGAAAAAAAATACTGGCCAAAAGTTGTGGATAACAGTAGGGAAAAAATGAAGAGGAAGAACAGCTGTAATCATCCTCCCTTCATTGATCCCTCCTCCAATCCTGTTGATCCCTCTGTAGCAAGTTCATTGCCGTTTGTGGATAACAGTAGGGAAAAAATGAAGAGGAAGAAGAACTGTAATTATCCTCTCTCCATTGATCCGTACTCCAAAGTTGATCCTAGATCCACCAATCTAGTTACTCTTAGCTCCTCTAATCCAGTTGACCCCTCCTTCAATACATCAACTTCATCTAACCCTATACCCAATCCAACAAGTTCATCCAACCTCATATGCAATGAAGACATATCTTTCTTCAACAAAAATTGCAAACATTGATATGATAACTGCTTTTATTATAGACCTTTGTTATTGGAGATAGGTGTTTTACTGGATCAATTAAAAGATGTAGGATGTGATGTTATTTGTGCTCTTCATCAATAGAATTCTGTAGTTGATATCAAGAAGATGGATAAAATATATAATACATTGGTGAAGATATTTTATTCTAACATGCATGATATTGATAAATGTGATCACAAGTTTAAGTCACTTGTAAAGAATGTAAGTATTCAAGTAACCCCAGATTTAGTTTCAAAAATATTAGGAGTTCGCTGACCCTTCGTTCCTAACGATACACTTATCTATCCATTCAAGAATTCTAAGGACATACCTAAGTTGAAAGATGTTTATGCAGAAATTGAGGGTATACCTAATAATTTTAGTGAGAGTATTGACAATCTTGTATTTTTTCAACAAGACCTTACTCCCAAATATAAGATGTTAAACCTTATAGTGTGGTGCAATATTAGTCCAAGAGGACATACCACTGATTTTGGACTTGATCAAGCTCATCTTTTGTATGCCATTGGAAAGGGTATATATATAGATCTACCTTGTTTAATAGTTAATGAAATTATTTCGGTACGAGGTATGAAGGATAAGCGGCGATGTCTCCCAATCCCAATTTTGATTTCAAAGATTATGGAGGATTATGGAGTTGTGATTCACTCAAGCGACGCTAATTCCACTCCCATGAATCCGATTTATGGTGGGACAATAAAAAAGAGTTTGGGGCAAGGGAAGAAGAAGAAAACTCAGCAGCCACAAGTTGAAATTGAGAATGAAGTTGAAGCTGAGGATGAAGTTAAAGCCCAGGATGTCCCAAATTCTTCCACAGGTGGTTTTCCTCCATTAACTATATCTGGACATTTGCTTATACAAATGGGCAGAAAGTTTGAGCAATTTCAAAATACTCAAGATGAAATAAAGGAATCTCTGAAGGTGATCGACAGTAGGTTGGATAGAATTGAGTCTTTTTTTTTTAATGAAAAGCAAAGAAATAGCTAGAAAGTGACAATTATATGTAATTGTAGTTGTTGGTTGTAGATACAATAGTTGAACTAGCAGTAGTGAAAGTGATGAAACACATTAATGCAATATGATATGTTTTTGTCAAAAATCTAAAATATCTTTGTTCTTTATATATAAAATGAGCTTGGTAATGGTTGTGATGAGCATGGTTGTGGTAATTTAGTAGTAAGATTATAAATTGTTATCGTAATTTTACCTCTAAGAGTACACCAAAAATTTACACCCAAAAAAGTTGTATTCTAAACCTAAGCAAGTTGTATTCTAACTCAAAAAATGGTAATATTAACAAAAAAAGTGGCAATCTTTCCCTCAAAAGTGATAATCTTCCCTAAAAAATGGTAATCTTACTCTAAAAAATGATAATCTTGCCTCAAATAAAGGTAACCTTATTCAAAAGGGTGGTATTTTTACAAAATAAAGGTGATAATGTTACACCCAAAAAATTGTACTCTTACACCCAAAAAAGTTTTATTCTAAGTCAAAGCAAGTTGTATTCTAATCCAAAAAATGATGTTGTTTACCAAAAAAGTGATAATCTTGCTTCAAATAATTGGTAATCTTACCAAAAAAGTGGTATTCTTACAAAATAACAAGTGATAATGTCACACCCAAAAAGTTGTATTTTTTACACCAAAAAAATTTGTATTCTAACCTCAAGCAAGTTGTATTCTAACCAAAAAAATGGTAATGTTAATCAAAAAAGTAGTAACCTTTCCCTCAAAAGTGGTAATCATCCATAGAAAATGATAATATTATCCAAAAAAGTGATAATCTTGCCTCAAATAATGGGTAATCTTACAAAAAATGTGGTATTCTTATCAAATAAAAGTGATAATGTTACACTCAAAAATTTTGTATCCTAAGCGCAAGCAAGTTGTATTCTAACCCAAAAATATGGTAATGTCAACCAAAAAAGTTGTAATATTTCCTTCAAAAGTGTTAATCATTCCCTCAAAATGGTAATCTTTCCTAAAAAAGTATAATCTTGCCTCAAATAATGGGAAATCTTACCAAAAAGTGGTATTATTACCAAATAAAAGTGATAATGTTTCATCCAAAAAGTTGTATTCTTACACCAAAAAAAATTGTATTCTAACCCCAAGCAAGTTGTATTCTAACCAAAAAAAATTATAACGTCAACCAAAAAAGTGGTAATTTTTCCCTCAAAATGGTAATCTTCCCTAAAAAAGTATAATCTTGCCTCAAATAATGGGTAATCTTACAAAAAAAGTGGTATTCTTACCAAATAAAAGTGATAATGTTTCACCTAAAAAGTTGTAATCTTACACCCAAAAAAATTGTATTATTAGCCCAAGGAAGTTGCATTCTAACCCAAAAAAAATGGTAATATTAATAAAAAAAGTGGTAATCTTTTCTTCGAAAGTGGTAATCTTCCCTAAAAATGGTAATCTTCCCTTAAAAAGTATAATGTTGCCTCAAATAATTGGTAATCTTACAAAAAAGTGGTATTCTTATAAAAAAAAAGTGATAATGTTACACCCAAAAAGTTGTATTCTTACATCCAAAAAAGTTGTAATCTAAGTTCAAGGAAGTTGTATTCTAACCTAAAAAAATGGTAATGTTAACTAATTAACCATCAAAATTGCTATTTTATTTTATTTAATAATTGGTTAATTGCATATTATTTATGATTAAATGTGTTAAATTCCTTGATTTTCTAGTTTGATACTTTTTCTATTTATTTGGTTTATTTTGTAGGTAAATTAATTGATTTAAAGTAATAATGAATACGACAAATGAATCAATCACTAGAGGAAGAATCACAATTTATAAGAATTGAAAAGCCAAGATTGAAATAGAAAAACTTGAAGATATGAAATCAATTAAATTCTTATAAGGGTCCAATTTGGAAGAAAACTCATTTAGAGTTGGATTAGGAAAGTATCATAGAAGATAAAGATTGGACACGTCTTTAGTATTTTGGTCATAAATTTTGACTTTGATATCTGATTTACTTGATTTTTGGAGGTTGAAAAGAAGATTTCAAGGGATACAAAAGTGTATTTCACGAAATTTTCGTGATTCAACCTCTAAATATGCAAAATTTAAGCTTAAAATCTGGATAGATTTTGTACCCGCGCCTCAAAGATTTTATGCACGAGATTTAAGCTTACAAAACTTCTTTTTTGGAAAGAAATTCCTTCCAAGCCAACCTTATTCCTTCCAACCTATATTTATGATTTATTTTATTATAAATAAAGGCTCTCACCTATTGAGAGAGATGATTAGGATTAGGATTTAAATTATTATTCTTTTCCCATTTTTTTTTTTTTTTGATTTTAGTTCGTCATGTCTGACTAGAAGGCTAAGCTAGGGGTAGGGGAGAACCTCTCAATGAAGTACGATAATATTATTAATTCTGAGTTTAATGATTTATAATATTTTGTTAATTTAACTTTTGATTTGTTAGCAAAGTTTTTGCTCTGTAAAAATCATTGAGTCGTTGTGTCATGTACATCGATTGCTTGAATTTCCCTACGAGTAAATAATTGGTTATTTCACGTTTGAGGTAATTATCATTATTTCATAAAATAATATAATTGGATGATTATTCAGGTTTCTCAATAATCTTTTGATTATAACTTTTGGTTTTCTTTCTTGATTTGTTACTCGAATCAACCGATATCTAATTCTTGTCTCAAGTTAATATTTGAGTCTTTAATCATTATTGTATGGAATTGAGAGGAAGTACCTGATACTCTAATATTTTTTATATTACTGTTTTAATTATTTAAATCAATTTTCTTTGCTCAACAATTTCCTAAACAAATAATTATTTTTAAGTTTATTTAAGTATTTGTGTGATTGTTTTCTTGTTATAATTTCTTGAGGGTTCGACCTCGGTCTTTTGAAAAATATATTACTTTGCTCAATCTGCGCTTGGGTTTACAATATTAAAGTTGAAGCATTAACCAAAGAGTTGTAATCTTTCCCTCAAAAGTGGTAATCTAACCTCAAATAATTGATAATCTTACCAAAAAAATAGTATTCTTACCAACTAAAAGAGATAATGTTACACCCAAAAAATTGTATTCTAACCAAAAAAGTTGTAATGTTAACCAAAAAAATGATACTCTTACCTCAACATTGGTAATCTTTCCCTCAAAAAGTGGTAATTTTCTCAAAAAATTTGTAATCTTACCAAAAATAATGGTATTCCAACGGAGATATACTAGGAATATTCGGATTTTTTTGCTTCCAATAAAGGTCAAGCTAGGTATATCGAAGTGCTTCACAGGTTTCATGATATGGCAGAGATTCATAGAGGTAGATCAGAGATATGATGTAGGAATAAAAACACATTCGTTCACATTTTCAAACAATCAAAACAGTCTGTTTACACAGTTCAGAGTTTACATGCCTTCTACTACTCTAATATGAGGCCTACATTCTCCAGAAGAAAAGGGAATAGTTGTTCATGCCATTATAAAATCCTCAGGATCAACAAAAGCAATAAATCAACAATATGGAATTATGGTACATGCCTTTTCGGATCTCCTCCAAACATCAGCAGGCACTGTTAGAAGGTTGGGATTCCTTTGATCAGTGGGATTCCTCTGATTGTTTGGTCTTTTGTTGAATCTTTGTCTTTTCAGATGCTTCTGTTGAATATGGGTTTTCTGGTTTCCGTGCTGGATATTCATCTTCTACACTGAGGCTTCATGGCTGTTTTCAACCTTGGACACGACTGGATAATCTTTTCTTTGCTCTTCTCTTAAGAATTCAGATTTCACAAACCTTGGCAATGGTTCTTCTGGCCACAAGCTCTCAAACGTCTCTTTGAAACCACCTTAGTCTATTAGATTGCTTTATAGGTAGGAGGTCATTTGGCACTCAGAGGGTCTCCAGCTGCCTCACAGTCGCCTTATCAATAAGGCAGCTGACTTATCAACTGGCTTTCCATCCAACCCAGGGGTGGTCAGGTAATTTTGAAGAGGGCTTTTACATATAACAGACAATTTTTTCATGCAAAGGAATTCATCAGGATAACCCCCACTAGTGGAATCAATTCTCATACAAAGAAACTCAAGAGAGGACTTAGCTTAAGTTCACCTGTTCAAATATTCAATTGTGAGTCCAAATCATGGATTTCGGGGCTGCAGGCTATCTGCGTTTTGTGCTCCAAGACTGTTGCTCCCAATGGAATACTCTCAGCAGCCTATTTCACTATCCTCTAGAATGTCTTCAGTGGTTATTGCTCTTCTGGACGATAGAGGTGGATCTGGACCTGTCTCCTCTCTGGTTCTTAGCATGGTTTGTCATCTTTCATATGGAATTTCTATGTGTTGGATATTCATCTTCTTCATTCTCCATCACTGCAGCAACTTCACGTCTGGTCTCATGAACTAGATATTTTTCTTCTTCACATGTTTTCATATTTGGATTGTTTGGTCTTCTTGCAGGCTATTCAGATCAGCGTTGCAGAGGTTTCATCCTCCCTTCATATCTTCATGACTGGATATTCATCTTCTCACTGAGGCTTTGTGGCTATTTTCACCCTTGGAAATTCATCTTCTTTGCTCTTTGTTAGAGTTCATATTGCATTGCTGGATTTGGCTTTTCTCCATTTGGTTCTCAGACGTTTCTTTGATAATCTTTCAGAGTGATGTGCAGGTTCCCAGGAGTTCATGTGTCTCTCAGAGGGTTTTCTTTTGATTGATAGACACTTTAGCAATAAGGCAGCTGGCTTATCGTTTGGCATTTCAATTTCCTATGTCCTGCAAAAGCTTTATCTGATAGCTTATCACCTGTTCTAGTGCTGAAGGGCCCTATCAACTGTTCACCTACCTTTCAGATACATTATAGTCTAGCCTTTAAATTTCCAAGGCAGTCTGTTCATCTGCCTTATCAGATGACCTCTCACTCTCCAGATCTGTCATGCACACAACTCAGCCTCTCTAGCTTGTCACACAACTCAACCTTGCCCTCAGCTCGTCTCTCAGCTATCTCCTAGCTCAAAATAGCTGCTACATATTGCTCATCTTGGCTCTCTTAGCTACTGCTCTCAACTTTGTTTCCAATTTAATACAACTGATGCTCTTACCTCATTTGGATCCCTTCGGCTACCTCTCTCATTTATAAGTAGCATGTCTAGATTTTATTTCTTTATTTTTTTGTACTAGGCATGCATTTTCATCGGTTATTTTATTTTATTTTTAATGTAATTAGTTTTATCGAGAAGTAAGGTGTATACGCTTTCCTAGGTAGGTGTAATTTAATTATCAATCAATAAATTTTTCTCGCACTGTCGAGGTTCAAAAAAAATATATATATATATATATATGGCGGCTACGTTATCAGTTGCCTTATTGGATAAGCACTTCCACTGATTATGACTTAGCTCCTTCATCTCTTCCAGCTCAAGTAATTGATGCTTGTAGCTCAATTTTAGCTTCAAATCCTCAATTTATTTTCAATTCAAGGCAACTGCTGTTGTACTGCCCACAGCTCATTTAATTACTATGTAGCTGAAATCCTGTTCACATCACTGTTCAGCATTCCAGCACATTTCAGTTGCTATTTCATCAGTTAGGAAATTTTTTTTTTGTTTTTTCGTGTAAAAGCATGCATTAGAATTTTAAATTCCTTATCACATTGCAATTAAATTGCATCGAGGGGTAAGAAAAATATATCCCCCATATCTAGGTGTAATTTAATTTTTAATCAATAAAATTTTCTTGCACTGTCGATGTTCTCCTAAAAAAAAAGGTATATTGAAGTGGAAAAAAAACTTGGAATGGAGAATGTAAAACATTTTCATTCAAAGTTGCAAAAAAAGTCAAATTTCATCAACCCATCTTGCTCCATGATCTTGGTGCCCACTTTGATAGCATAAATTGATGGTTAGATGACGTTGGTGAAAAAACAAAATTTGTAGGACAAAATTTGTAATTTTTGTAATTACCTCTATATTACTCACTGAATAAAATAAAAATAATTATCAATATACTAATCGTACTGCAATGTTACTTTATTTAGGATTAGTTAGGTTAATTGAGATAAAATTTAATATACAACGCTACAATTTATACAATAAAATAGGAGTGTGTTTGAATTTTATCACAGTCATATTTTTCCCCTCAAAATCATCACCAATCACTTATCTCACTCATCATCCCCTTGTCAGACTCAAACATCAAATCGCATAACTTATTTCTATTATATGTTTAATAATTTATATATTTCTTCCCTAAAACACATCACTCATTTCTATCATATATTTAATCATTTAATATTTGATTAATTTGTAGTTAATATATTTTGAAAAAAATTAATATAATGAGATTGATTTTTTAGACGCTCGAATTTTATATTTTATCGTGCCTTCATGTACGGGTTCTGACTAGTATATATTATAAAGCATATTAAAATTTGAAAAAAATTCAAAATTTCACATAAAATCTTAACACAGTTTAAAAATTTTACTGTAACTAACAAATCATGTAAAATTATATATACATTATTTTTTATCTTAAAAATAAAATGGTTAAACATTTTGATAAAAAATAAAATATACATATATAGTCATAATATTATCTTTATAAACGAGATGAGTAATATTATATTGATTAAGTTTTTAAAGATTTTTTGAATGTTTTGTTAAACTTATAATAATACATAAAGTTTTTAAGAGTAATATAATCAATCAAAAAGTTTCACAAAAATTGACATTTATAAATAGATAATAGATAATTAAAAAATTAATTTGATTAAAATTTCACTTATAAATCATTGAATAAAATTATAATAATTATCAATATACAAATTATATTAGAACATTTATGTATTTAGGATTATTTAGGTCAATTGGGATAAAATTTAATATACAATGCTATAATATATATTATAAAACATATTAATTTTTTTTTAAAAATTAAATTTTCACATAAAATCTTAACGCAATCTGAAAAGTTTACTATAACTAAAAATTATGTAAAACTATATATACACTATTTTTTATCTTAAAAATGAAAGGGTTAAACATTTTGATAAAATAAAATAAAATATGCATACAGGGTTAAATATTTTGATAAAAAATAAAATATACATGTGTAGTTATAATATTATCTTTATAAATGAGGTGAGTAATATTATATTGATGAATTTTTTTAAGGTTTTTTTGATTATTTTGTTAAAACTTATAATGATGCACATATTTTTTTAAGAGTAATATAATCAATCAAAAAGTTTCATAAAATTGACATTTATACATAGGGAATATCTATACTACTAAAAAAATTCATAATGATGCATATATTTTTTAAGAATAATATAATCAATCAAAAAATTTCATAAAAATTGACATTTATATATAAGAAATATATAATTAAAAGTGATTTTAGATGTAATTTACAGATTTAAATGCATAGGGATATGATGGTAATTTAAATATTAGGTGTGAAATGATAGAGTGACCTTTTAAATTTTTTATGAGGGTTAAATAGTGAATCAAAAGTTTTTCATGTTAACATACTTTTATTAGTAGTATAAATATAAATATAAATATAGATATAAATATATTGGTAATCATTGAATTTTTAAGTTTCTTTAAGGGTACACAAAATGTCAATTTTTTATGATTTAAGCCACAAATGTTCATATATTTATTTAAGGACAAAATAGAAACCCAAAAGTTTTAAATGAAATTATTAGTGTGAGGTATAATTGTCTTTATAAGTTTGTTTGAGGGTAGAAGAGAAATTCAAAAGCTTTCATCTAAGGTACTTTTATTAGTAATAATAATTAGTTGGTGCACACGTGTTTTGCACGTGAACCCATTGTAAAAAACAAGGTTTAAGTTTATATATATCTAGTTAAGAATTTAATACGCAAAGTAAAATAATCAGAGAAAAAAAAAATTCGTATACTACTTGAATTGATTACTCAAATAGATGAGAAAGGACTAAAAGTCGGATCACTAAANAATTCGTATATTACTTGAATTGACTACTCAAATAGATGAGAAAGGACTAAAAGTCGGATCACTAAAGCCAACTACGTTTCTAACATCACCAAAAGATGACCAGTGCATGAGATACATTGAAACATTAAAAAAAAAAAATCAATATTAAATTTAGGACACATAATTGCCTTGAAAGAAAGGTGGCCTATTGCAACATTTACTTTTAAAATAGACATATCGGTAAAATCTTACAATTTCGACAAAGGATTCTTTACTCATAAAAGTCAAGATTACTCAATGCACCAGCTTTATGACATTTGCTAACAATTAAGAAGGTTGACCTGACCTATATATAAATTTGAAACAATCATCCTGCATAATAGACTAAATATAGGGAAAATTTTAGTTACACCCCTTCTAATTTATTATATCTTCAAGGACATCCCCTCTATTATCAAAAATATCATTGACACTCCTTCAAGTTTATATTTAAATATCACTAACACACCCTACCATTAAACTATCATTTATAACAAAAATATTCATCTAAAATACCAAAAAGCCCCTACATAAAGCTCAAGTAATTTTTCTACATAAAATTTTATTAAAATTCGAGCCGATTAAAATTTATTTTTTTACATATTAAAATTTGAACCAATTAAAATTCAATTGAAGCTGATTAAATTTTATTTTTTTAAACATATTAAAATTCGAGCCTTTTAAAATTTATTTTTTTGCATATTAAAATTTGAGCCGATTTGAACTCTACCCGAGTTGTTAGTGCCGATTAAAATTTACTTCCGAGTTGATTAAAATTTATATTTTTTTACTTATTAAAATTCGTGTCAATTAAAATTTGATTTATTAAAATTTGAGTCAATTAAAATTTGGACCGATTAAAATTCAATGCGAGTTGATTAAAACTTGATTTGAGTCAATTAAAAATAATTTTTAATCGGCTCAAATAGAATTTTAATTAGCCCAAATTTTAATACGGAAAAAATATAATTTTTAATCTGCTGAAATTTTAATATATAATGAATCGAATTTTAATCGACTCGAAGTTTAATATGTAAAAAAAATTAGAAAATAGAGGGGTTCTCTTTGAAGATATGCTTATCTAGAGGGGGTGTGGATGAAGTTTGTCCTCAAATATATCATGACAATTTAGTAAAATTGTATTCTAGTTAATATTTTTAATCTGATAGGGGTGTCATTGAAGATTCAAAAAATAGAGGGGTGTCCTTGAAGATATAATAAACTAGAGGGGGTGTAGTTAAAATTTTTCCCTAAATATATGATAAGCAAAACTTAATGCCTTGATAAGCTTAATAATTTATATTAATTGAATGCTGAAAATAAAATATTTTTTTTTTGGTTAGAAAAATGAAACAATCGTCAGTATGCTTTTTAACAAAATATGATTTGATCATAGATTAAGTTTGCAAAGAAATGAAGCAATAAATGCAGTAAGTGTCCATCAACCAAAATAATGCTGCAAAAGGTTCATTTAGTGTTGTGCACAAGAGTATAAGAAGTATAAAAAATAAAAAGCCTAAAGTTCCGAAGTGGCTG